AATTTGATTATAATTTAAGCAACAACTGATGGTTTGTGATTTTTAATTGTTTTAAGATCATGTTTAAAATGTCACATTACCAGTGATTACCTTGTTTTCTTCTGAATCCATTGCATAATAGATTTTATTTTAATAACATTTTTAACCATGATTACACCTACTAGTCTCCGTTTCCTGTGTCGTGACGCAAGGGAGTTTAGCCTTGCGTGATGACACCGGAAACGGGTGTGAAAGACAATAGGGGTAATCTAAAGGAGTCAACGGGAATGTACAAACATGTTTGGTGGATGATAAACAGATGCTAAAAAAATTAACTTGTCCTTAGGAATGTAATCCGCCACCTCAGAACAAAACAGCAGTGAAGCAGACTCCGAGAGAGAGAGAAACCCTAGGGACCTTGTGCTATTATGTAAACAAATGAAACGTGAACCAAAACGTCTCGCTGGTACCCAGGGTAGAAAAAGCCAAATCAAGTCAGGCTTTCGACTACGAGTTTGTTATTTTATTTTATTATTTTTTGTGACTTGATAGTTCATTTTGTAAAGTTCTTTAAGTCTTTTAATATACTTAGCATGATCTCGCATTTCATTTCGTGACTTAAGCCAATGATTGATGATACAAGGGACCAGGGAGAGTAAGATTTTTGGGGGAAGTGGATGTTTTGTTCGATTCTCGTATTTCATGTACGTGACATGTTGTCTCGCCTTATTTGAGACATTTATACATTGTTTTAGATGGTTTTAGATTGTTTGCGAGTGGTTGTAGATGTTTTTGAGGTGGTTGTAGATGGTTGTAGGTGGTTGTTGAATTTTTTGAGGTGGTTGTAGATGGTTTTAGGTGGTTGTAGATGGTTTTAGGTGGTTTTAGGTCGTTCCATGTTTTAGTAACTACGTTCCAGTAACATGTCACATTGGCTCTCTTCGCGAGGCTACATTTTCCCATGAAAACATGCCGGTTTCAATTCGGAAAAAGTATCACAAAACGTGGGGCGCGTTGGGGAGCGATAAAAAATTAGCGTAGAACAAGGTTTGTAGAAACACTTACAACTATCTTCTACTTTCGACGGGCAATATAATGGAAATTATAGCCTCTTACAGCTGATTTCAGTGCTGTGTATACACCCTGATTTTTAGACATGATTCGACGGTCATGATTCGACCGTCATGATTCGACCGAGAGGTTACCAAGCAGCACAGTATTTTACCTTGAATATCCTACATCCCTACAGGAATCAAAGCACACAATCTGAAAGTTACTTTAATGATAGCTTGAATGTTTCTCTTGTAATTCAGAAAAAGAGGACTGTGATCCATAATTTGTTCTCCTTTCCAGACAACAGACTCTCATACAAGTCACGCAATCAAATCGCAATACATGTTATCGGGCGTGTGGAAGTCTCGATCAAAACGTTTTTCGGCTCTTTTCTCAACTTTTTTTGGGCTTCTACCTTGATCTTTAAAGAAATATCATAATTTACCCTTTTTCAATAAAAACAAATGTTGCTTTCTTTTAAGTATGGTTTTCTTTATTTGTGCTTGACTAGGGTCATAGGTCGAGGACCGCACATTATGATATTTTTCAATGGTCGACAAAACAAAACTCTCAAACTCTCAAGCAAATTCTTTCACAACGGCAGACTGATCAATTTATCTGTTGATTTCATCTGCAAAACATCACGTCTTCCTGTTATTTTTTAACCATGCAGAAGCTGAGTGAGGACGAAAAAGTACCAACTTGAAGAAATACAAATTTGCCTCCATGTAAACTAAATTTGCATTACTGTAACATCTGAATTCACCACCGGCGAAATACGTACCGAGACCTTGTCATACGGAAGAAGACTAAACGATAAACCATCGGACTATTTCGCTTTTCGCCGTATTGATAATATTTCGTCCATTATGAAATCGCCTACAGAAATACATTCGAACTCGGTAATCGAACTCCAGGTTTATCACTTGATGACGTGTTATCATAATTTCTGTATCATGTCGCCGCTTTCCAGGCAACAAAGCTTTCCTCTTCAGGTAAAACGCTTTTGTCGGGATTCTAGCTTCGTTACACTTATGTCCTTTAGTATGAGGGGTGATCTCCGCCAATATTCTGCTTCAAATTCCATTATGACGGACCTGCAATTTCCGGTTCCATCATCAGAACCGAAATTAGACCAACAGAACAGAAATTGAGAAGTCGGAACCGAAATTGAACTAACAGAACAGAAATTACGAAGATAGAACCGAAATTGAACCAACAGAACAGAAATTAACGAGTCAGAACCGAAATTGAACTAACAGAACCGAAATTAACGAGTCAGAACCGAAATTGAACTAACAGAACAGAAATTACCAAGTTAGAACCGAAATTGAACTAACAGAACAGAAATTACAAAGTCAGAACAGAAATTAACAAGTCAGAACCGAAATTAACAAGACAGAACCGAAATTGAACCAACAGAACAGCAATTGACACAACCGTCAATTTCGGTTCTAAATGGGACTGGGGCCGTGAAGACAGCGCTGACCGAGTGAAGCCCGGGGAAAAACACTTTAGAATATTTTAATTTATGATTATATATTCCTTCTTGACAATGGCGGGTGAGGAAGGATTGCCAGCTCGGTGCATCTCCCTTCTCGAGGAGGTGAAGGGCTCCTCGAGGGCCAGGGAAACAAAAACATGAATGGAGTTCGCCTTGATGATGCTGGTGCGGTCTCCACAGCTGTCTCTAACGAAGTGGTTCGAACCAGACCGGTTCAGTCACAGGTTTCCCCACCCGAATCGACTGAGCCACGTTCGGAGAGGATCATGCAAAATTTCCGTTCTTTATTTTCGCCGCATCCTGCCGGAC